TCGCCACATTGTATAGATATTTCCCCCCGTACCTTCATCTCATCCATCCAGTCCATGATGTAGAGCATCTCCTGGAAGACCCTCTGCAGCCCGAGGTTCATCTCGAGCCGCAGCCGGCGGGCCTTCAGCAGCTCCAGCAGATACTCCCACAGCCGGATGACGTTGTCCTTCCTGGCCGTGATGCGTTTGATGTCGTGGTAATTCTCACTCTCCATCTCCCTCGCCACCGAGATCACCGCCTGTAGGGGAGGAGACAGATTGTATTTAGTTTTGAGTTCTTACACGACTAAATAAGAGAGAAATGGATGTTGAATTCTGACCTCAACTCGCTCCTCGTAGGCGGTGATGTCTGTTTCTATGGCTTCATGTTTCTTTGTGGCAGCTTCTACCGCCTGCAGGTCAAATCCAAAGTTATCCTGGAGGAGCATAGGGAAAAGGAGACAAGGTGAGGAGAGGAAACAGGGAAGGAGAAAAGAAAAAGAGAAGAGGGAAAAAAATGAAACGAGGGAAAAGGAGACAAGAAAATAAAAAGGCAAGACGACAAAATTGGGAAAGAGGAGAAGAGAGTGGAAAGGAGACAAGGATAAAGGACACAAGGAGACGAGAGAAAGAAAAGGAGACAATAAGAGGAAAGAGAAATGTAGACAAGCAGGAAAAAAGGAGATAAGGAGAGAGGGAAGGAAGGCAAACAAGGAGGAGAGAGTAAACAAAACAGGGAGAGGAGATGAATGAGGAAAGGAAACAAGTGAAGTCAAAAGGGAAAAGGTGAAGAGAAAGAGAAAGGAAACCAGGATATAAAGGAAGGTGAGAGTAACATGTTATAGTTATTGTGCCTTTACAGTGTTAATGACATGTGTTTATCATAGTGAGATAATGTGTGTGTTACCTGAGAGACGAGCCTCTGGTTCTCGCTCAGCCACGTCTCTCTCATGGCGGCTTTGCGGTCGAAGCGTCTGGCGAGCTGCTCCAGTTTCTCCTGGCGAATCAGCTCCGTCCGCAGGGCCAGCTCCCGCTCGTGCTCCGCCTTCTCCAGACGCTCCCACGCCTAAAACAAACACACCCAACACCAGCAAACAATATTAAAACACTCAGATTCTCAAAGTCTAATGAGTTTCAATTTAAAATGCAAACGAGTTCTCCATAAAGTCACATTTTTAGGTAGAATTATATCTTGTTGACACTAAAAATAGGTAATATCTCTTGTATACATGATGGATTTAATTGATTGAATGACCTTGTTGATGTCGGAGATGAGTTTCCCCTCTCGAGGAGTGTACACCTTCTGGTTGTTGGCTCTCATTTTACTCTGGATGGTGAACAGAAGAACCTCCAGGTTTCCTTTCTCTGTGAACCTGCGCAAACACAAACAAACAAATATTGTTATTTTACCAAAATATGTTCAAGTTTCAGACATGTGGTTCAACAAAAAACTAAATAATGAGAAAACCGGTTGCACTAAAATGACGTCTGATGCAACATAAACCCTAACAACACAATTATATTTTACTAAATATTATTAGAGGCAAGATGTTAGTCATAAACTGTCATGTGTGATGTTTATGTTTCAGTAGATCAACAAATAAACAACAAGTTTTGTGTGTGTGTGTGTGTGTGTGTGTGTGTGTGTGTGTGTGTGTGTGTGTGTGTGTGTGTGTGTGTGTGTGTGTGTGTGTGTGTGTGTGTGTGTGTGTGTGTGTTGTGAGAGAGAGAGAGAGAGAGAGACTGACTTCGGGGGCTTCTCGGCGGTCCGGTAGGTGTTGAAGGCCTGCAGCTGCTGCTGGACGCCCACCAGAGAGTTGGCGAACTTCCTGTTGTTGAGGATGATGACGGTCTGCTCGCACCACTCCAGCAGGTCTGAGGCCAGAGACTCGTACTTCTCGACCATCTTCTCCGTCTCGATGGCGTTGTCCAGAACCTGCAGAGACCAGGAGGCACGTTGAAAAAAACTCAAGACA